TGTCTCTCTCACATCGATGTTTCTCTCTCTCTCTCTACCTTTTTCTCTCCCTCTCGCTCTATCTAAAGATAAATGCAAAAATGTCCTCAGGTGAGGATAAAAAAAAAAAAAAGAAAGCCAGCGCTATCAAGACAGCTACATTTATTTTCTATCACATTCATTCATTCACAGTGTACATGAGGGAGAAAATGACATAAAATGGAATTAGAGAAGTAGACAAAGGATAGACCAAGCAGGCCCTTTTGTTCCATTTTAAATAGAATAAGTTTTATTCTTAATCCAATGGAAAGTCACTGAAAGGTTTTAAGGAGAGAGCTGACATGATCTGATTTAAATTTTAAGAGCAACACTTTGGGTTGTGGACTAGAGAGGCAAAAGAAGAAGCAAAGGGAAGCTATTGTGGGTGTTCAAGTGAGACGATGGTAATGTGGCTGGGAGGGGGAGGCAGAAGGGAAAGGAGATGGACTTGAGACATGGTGGGTAATAGGATTTAGCACCAGATTGAATACAAGTGGGGAGGGAAGAGCAAGTTGTTAGGAATGATGCCTAGATTTTTGGCTTGAACCAGTTTGGATGCTGTTTATTCTGGGATAGGGAGAAGGGGTGAGATTGGAGTCAGTGAGTTCTGAAGAGCTGATCAAGAATTCAGTTTTAGGGGTGCTAAGCTCAGTGAGACCCTGGGGCTTGAGATTCCTATTTTGCATGATCTGCATATGTATGTATTGAAAGCAGTAGGACTGGATAGGGTACCCATACAGAGAACATAGGGAAGAGATTAATCTCTGGAAATGGAGTTTGGTAGGAGAGGTTGAGAAGGTGTAACCAGTGTGGGAGGAGGAAAATCAGCATGTGTGGTGTGTTGGTTTTAAAATACATCCAGAAATTCTTTGATATTTCTCTTTTCAAAAATAAAGCTTAATTTCCCTCCCTTTATGTGGGGCTGGACTTACTGACTGGCTTCTGACAAAGGGCACATGGTGGAAATGATGGAGGGTAATTTCTGAGATTAGAACATAGAAGGCACTGCAACTTCCTAGAATTCCTCAGTAGGATTAAATCACAGTGCTAACTTCACTTCTTTCCCTTCTCTGTTCCACTTCCTGGTTTCCCTATTAGAATTTTCTGGGGCCAGCTCCCAAGTAAACCAGGCACATTCAAATTCTGGTCTGGGTCTGCTTCTGAGAGAATGTAAACTTAAAGAGGAAGGTGGTAATGTTGGGAGGGTGGAGCATCAGGACTTCCCACTTATTCTACACACATCACTCAATTATGTTGGGCAGAGTCAAGCTAACAGGATCATTGGTGATAATGTGAATTTGATTCCAGACAACCACAATAAACTATCTCAAGTATAGCAAAGTTAATAACATTTATCTTACCTTCCCAAGCTAAAAAGATGCCAGACTTAGGTACTAGATTTCAGATCAATAAATGTTCTAGGCTGACACTGTCCAATAGAAATATAATGGCCACATATGGCATTTAAAATTTTTTAGTAGCCACATTTTTAAAAATATAAAAGGGATGAAATAAATTTTAGTTATACACACACACACACACACACACATATAGATATAGATATAAATATAGATATATAGATATATTTTCAATCCTCACCCAAGGATGTTTTTTTTGTTTTTGTTTTTCTATTTACCTTCAGATACAGTGTGAGGGAGAGAGAGAGAGAAACAGCAATGTGAGAGAGACACATTGATTGGTTGCCTCCCACACGACCCCTACCAGGGCCAAGGACAATCTGCAACCAAGGTACATGCCCTTGATGGGAATGGAATCAGAGACGCCTTGGTCCTCCAGCCAATGCTCTAACTGCTAAGCCAAACTGGCCAGGGACAATTATAGTAATATATTTTATCTAATATATACAACATTATAATTTAAACATGTAATCCATGCAAAATGATTAGTGAAACAGAGCTTGGGATGCAAAGGTATTATGGGAGAAGCAGAGACCTAAGTGAAAGAAGGGGATTATGAAAATGGAGAATTATGAGAGAAGCAGGGAATTATAGGGGAGAATGAAGACTTGTGGGAGAGGCAGGGAGTTATGGGAAAGAATGGGATTATGGGAGAATCAGAGAACTATGGGAGAATCAGAGAATGATGGGAGAGAATAGGATTATGGGAGAAGCAAGTAAGTACAGGAAAGAATGGAGAATTATGGAAGAAGCAAGGAATTATATGAGAGAATGAGATTATAGGAGAAGTAGAGAACTATGGGAGAGAATAGAATTAGGGAAGAAGCAGGGAACTATGGGAGAGAAAGATTATTGGAGAAGCAAAGAAATATGTGAGAGAAAAGGATTATGGGAGAAGTAGAAAACTATGGAAAGAAATAGGATTCTGTGAAAGAATTGGATTATTGGGAGAAATAGGGAATTATATGAGAGAATGAGATTATGAGGGAGAATGAAGAATTGTGGGAGAAGCAAGAACTATGAGAGGGAATGGGACTATGGGGAAAACATAATTACAGGAAATAATGGAGAATTGAGGGGGAAGCTGAGGACTATGGGAGAGAATGGGATTATGGGAGAAGCAGGGAACTGTGGGAGAGAATGGGATTGTGGGAGAAGCAGGGAACTATGGTAGAGAATGAGATTATGGGAAAATCAGGAACCTGTGGGATGGAATAGGATTATGGGGAAGAATGGGATTATGAGAGCAGCAGAGTAGTATGGGAGAGAATGGGATTATGGGAGAAACAGGACTATTGGAGGAAATTGGATTATGTGATTATGGAAATGAATAGGATTGTGGGGGAAGCAGGGGATTGTGGGAGAGCTAGGAATATACAAAGCATGTCTAGAGCATATAAATTGTCCCAATACCCAAAGGGCAAAAGCTGGGCAAATCAAACACTGATGCTTAAGTCTACAGATATACATGTTGCTAATAATTCATTTATTTGATGAGTGTTAATTGTCTACTATGTGCTAAGCACCATTTAAGAGGCATATAATTTTCCAGGTCACTAAAATTATGGTGCAGTTTTTCAATTAAAAAAAAACAAACAAACCTGGTGATTATACTAGAAATTGCTCGATAGCAGGGGCATTTTATGCTATATCTTGTAAAACCTTAGAAAATAATCAGTAGACATACTTTTATGCAGTGAATGCCTACCATTCTCTTTTTGTGTATCCCTGTACCTTGGAGTCTGGAGTTGATTAAACTCGGTTCCCAGCAATTCCTGAAGCGCTGACCACTTGACATTTCCAAGTATGTTGAGGAGACAATAAACACACCCGGTGGTGAACCTGATACAGTGTAGAGGAACTGAGTTTCACATCTTGAAAACTGCAGAATCCTGACATGGATTCTCCATTTTCATATTCTTTGGCTTATTTGGGGTCTCTTCATTTAATTTGGTGGCACTTTGAGTGATGCTCCTGGAGGTTTATTTGCTGGTTGTTAATCTTACCTCCAAAGAGCACTTGGTCTCTTAAGTGGGCCGTTTAGCAATACAAGAACCGCTGCAGTTTGAGGACAATGTGATTATGAACAAATGGCATCTGTTCATATTTTTATCACGAAAAGGAAATCGAAACTTGTGACCACACATTTAAAGAACCTGAGTTGAGGCTTGTTCTCTTTGACCTTCAAAATCCCTTAATACCGTGGTGGACTCTGGTGAAAGCTTTTTTCCTACAAGTCAAACACAGAAAGGCTCACCTTAAAGAAGCCTGTGCCAAAGCAAGGCTCTTACCCTGCTCTGCCCAGGAACTGTCCACTTAAAACTCAATAGCAAAGTGATTCTCACTTAGCTGAAGGCGATTCTGCATGTTCTCTCCACTCCCCCCCTCCCGTATCTTGGACAATGTCTGGGGACATAATTTGGTTGTCACAACATGGGGAGGTTGCTACAGGCATTTGGTGTGTAGAGGCGCCACAGATGCTGCAGCTCAAAATCCCACAATGCACAGAACAGCCTCCCCACCCCCCAACAATTGTCCAGCCCAGCCCAGCCCAGCCCCAAAGGTCAATAGTGCCACAGTAGAGAAGCCTTGCTCTAGCAGGCACCTCAGAATACAAGACATCACAGCCCCGGAGCCCAAAACCTTTTCCAGTGAGTGGTTCCCAAAAGGCTGCCCTAATGACCGGTGACGCTGGGCCAGACTGCCTGGGTTTGAATGCGGGGCCATCACTTACTGGCTGCCTCCTTGTGCATTTATCCCCTGTCTGTGTCTCATTTTTCTCCTCTACAGCAGGGGGATGATAATAATAGCACGTTACACACAGGGCAGTTAGGGGGTTTTAAATGGGTTAAAATAGTCCTAAGGTGTTTCGAACAGTGCCAGGCCTACAGGGAGCACTATATAAGTGTGTATTTCCTAAGTGGCTTTGCTGATCTCTGCAAAAAAAATGAGTTTCGGGACTTAGAAAAACTTATGGGTAGTAAAGAAACAGCTTCGGATTCTGAACTGCCACAGCAAGAAAAATGAGTCGATTTCATCCAACAACCATGATCTTTCTTTCCCGTTCATCAACCCTAATGAGAAAGCCACTGAGTAGAGGAACCCCCTTCATGGCGGGCTCAGCCCACAAATGATAAGCGCTTAGTCTGTATCCTCCCCAGTTTCTGTCCCTGCTTCCCGAGCAAAACTATCGACTGCCAATCCATTGGCACTGTTTGGAGAGCATGGAAAACACAAAATTGCACAGGCACAGAACCCACCCACCTACCCACCCACAGAGAGACCCTCACACACTTGGTCCTACAGCAGATGTCTGCAGACTACTAAACCAGAACGCACCCACAGGGCTGCGCGCAGAGCCTCTCTCCTTCCCACCGGACATGATCAGGTGGGGTGCTGCAGATGCAAAGGGAGCTGGAGCGAAGCCCGTGGGCACTCAGGAACTGGCATCCTTGTTAAATTCCGTCTTAGCAGGCACACACCCGCTGGGGTGGCCGGAGGGACTGGGACAAAGAGTTGGAGCCCTGTGGAGAGCTCAGGCCGGGACGATCGCCAGCCACTCACCTGGCCGCATTCTCTAATCCACCTGCCACCCAAGGGAGCAGCAGGGGGAGCACAAGGGCCCAGGGCGACAGCATCTTCGAGCAGGGCCTCCTTCTGCCGCTGTCGCCTGCCGCTCCTCCTCCTGCCCCCTGGGAGGGCGCGGGACGGGGGCGTAGCGGCCCCCGCAGCCTCCTCTCTCCTGGGCTGCTCCGGGCCTTTGCTCCTCCCCTGCACGATCCTGTCGGGTAGAGGGAGGCCGGACCTGTGGCAGGGGGCAGTCGCAGCCTCTGGAGAGGTAGGGGCGCCCTGGACAGACCTCCGCGGCTCCTCTGTGGGTGAAGCGGGGTCGGTGCGCGAGGGAGGGCGGGGCGGACCATGCACATCTGGCTGGGACCCGCCTCCAGCACCACCCGCGCATCCTCCTCCCTGTGTTCACCGAGAAACTTACCCCAGACTCAATTCACTCCACTCTAGTTGTATCGCCATCTATCTCAGACATGGGGCAGCTTTCAGTGATACCTGTGCTGGAGGACTTAAGAATTTGATTAAAAAGTTAAAGCAGGAACCAAGAATGCCGGTTCAGAATGACACTTCTATCCTATGTCTATTTAGATTTTCACATTTTGCTGAGTTTTCTCCACAAACTGAAAACCATAGGCTGCTAGAGCTGGAAAGTCAAGTACTGTGCAGCCCCTTCCTTTGTCAAGTGACCTGCCATACTCATTTACGACAGCATACTTACATGGGACCACCAGATGTTACAGTAATATAGTAACCAGTGCAGGAATGAATGGCAGAAACACAAATGCTATCCCTTGGGTACTTAATATGTTTGTTCTGACAACTTTTTATAGCAGAATGAATGATTTCTCCCTCCTTCAACTCTCCCTGCATACATACTTTGTCTTCATGGTGAGCAGAGCCTAAGGTCCCACACTTTGGCTTTGGACTTGACTGTGTGATTTGCTTTGACCAGTGGCATAAAGGTCAGTTCCAAGCCTAGGCCTTAAAACACCCGACCCTCTATCCTGGCCACGAGAGGAGCATGCCTTAGCTAGCCTCATAGCTCAAGGAGAATGAGAAACAGGTGGAACAGAGCTGCCTGACCACTTTGCAGACCCGTAGCTTAGAGCAAAACTTCTTAGTCAAGCCTAGTGTATATCAACTAAGGTCAGCAGTGCCAGCCAAACTGCTTGTGATGATTTGTTACACAAGCTGTAGCTGAAACGTCTGTGACCTGGTGTTAGAAATAAAATAAAGAAGAATATGGAGAGAGAGGAGATTTGTCTTGGTTATAAGCTTCATTCTTGCTTTTATAATGGGTTTGTGAACCCTGAGGGGAAAAAAGACACCTACTAACAAGGGTTTCAGGTGGCTAAATGGGCTCAAATTTGAAGAAAGAAAGAAAAAAAGATCCTAGCAGCAATTTCTAAACAAGGGCCTCTAACACAAACCGAGCTTCAGGGAGAAGCCTGCCCTGAACCGCCTACCTGCACTGTGTTTCTTCCAGCTGAGCCAGCCCTTATAAAGGAGCTCCTGTAGTTCTATTTCAACCAATAGGACTATAGTTCTATTTCCACATCCAATCAGAGCTGTGCAGCTCTGGCCAATCAGAGTGGCTGTATTCTGATCAATCAAGATAGTGCCTTTTGGACCAATCAAACCAAGAGAATTTGGAGTCTCATAGATGGACCAATCAGGGGCCAGGGGCAGAGGCTCCTCTCCATGTAAGCCAGCTCCCCCGTGGCTTGGGAAGGCACTTTCCCTTTCCAGCAAGACTGAAGACTGCCTCTCCCTGGCTGAGCTGAAACACTCAAGATGTCTTTCTGGCAGGGAGCAGAGCAGAGCATTGAGCAGAGCTGTCTAGTGGGAAAGGGGCCTGGCCCCAGGGCTGCCTCACAATTTTGCTGTTTCACAATTGAGCTGTTCCACAACTGTTCTATATCACAATTGAGCTGTTTTGCACTGAATAAAGTTTCCTTCTTCACTGCACCCCAAATTGGGGATTCCTATTGGTATTGAATTAGTGCCAATGATTCTAGTCAATGAAATGTGACAAGAGAAGATGAGGACGAATTTTCAGTTTTATGGTTGAAGGCATCCTAATGGATTCAATATTTCTGATTAGTAACCAGTTAGGCCATTGAGATGTTCATAGCCAACAATGTGCTTGCCACCTAAAGCAGATGGAATATAAAATTCATCTTGGTGTGGCTTTGCCCACAAGCAGACCCTGAGGGATTGGAGTGGTGGTTTGTTCTAGAGGAGCAGAGAGCCCTGGCGGGGGGGAGAAGGAATGAATCCAGGGCAGGGGGGAAGGTAAACAATAGCAGGTGTGTATCAAGGTATTACTGGGGCAACTGAAGCTTCATGCTGCTGGGCACCTCCCAGAATCAGCCTAGAACTTGTGTCTCCACCTGGTCTCACCTGAAAGGCCAGAGAGCCTGGGTATTTAGACACCATCTTCATTCAGTCATTGCCTGAAGGCTTCCACCAGAGTACAGATCCTAGGACTTCTGCCTGCTATGCTGAGGGCAGAGAAAATCCCACAGATGCTTACTGCTGACATGCTACCATTGCTGCCCAGCCTGGGAGGAGATGAGCAGGGCATCACATTGCTGCTACCTAATGCTCAGCAATTGAATTGAAAATTATGATTGTGCCTATGCCAACTATTCCTAAATAGTCAGCTCCAAATTACCCCCTCCTCCAAATACACCACTATTTTTTTACAAGTCCTAATAAAACATGATTAGCTTAAAATGTGCTCTTAGCCCAAAGTTATAAAGGATTAGAGTAGCATCTTGAATAACATTTATGTCACATTCTAATTTTCAGTATTTTGATGCTGTTTCTACTCTTTGTTATGTTTTTTTTTTTTTTTTCCCCAGAGCCAATGTCCCTTCTGTAGTGTTAAAGGAAGAGATGAACATTACGACAGGAAACTTCCAGAGGAGGTCAACCACTCCTCAGCCAACCCACCTATTAGTTCCTGGGGGACAAAAGTGCCATCAGGTACTGTGAGGAACAGTGAAGGAACCTGGAAATGACATCTTGTCAGGTTGGATACAAATTGCCACCCAGAGGCAGGTGTTTTTAGTAATCACCTTGGTGCTGCTGACTTTGAAGGGAACTGCTCTTTAGGGGGCCCTACTCCATTCTACAGAGGAAAAACAATCTTTGATCAGAATCTCATAAAATCATCCACACCTTTTACAGGGCTACATTTGTTCTCCTAATCTATTTCCACTTAGCCCCCTGCATAGAACAGGTGCGATGGGATATTTTTGTGCATTCTGAATATATATACATAACACACATATAAAACTTTTAACACTTACGATGTGCCCGACGCTGAGATCCAAAACTTATATTGAAATAGCACCAGAAGCAAACCAGTGTCAGATGAAAGAGCTGGGTGGAAGAGTATCTCAGCCAGAGTTTTCAATTTCAATACAAATTACCTGGGGTGGGGGAGTCATGTTAAAATGGAAGTTCTGATTATGTAGGTCTGGAATGAGGTCTGAGTCGTGATTACTAAAAAACAAACAAACCAACAAACAAAAAAACGCAAGTGATGGCCATGCTGCTTGTCTGAGAACCTCTTAGGGTAGTGAAGGTCTAGAGATCACCTAGCCCAGCAGTTCTCAAGTTCAGCTGCACAGTGGGAAGCTGTGAAACTACTGATGCCTGGGCCCTACCTCAAGAGAGTCTAATGTTTGGACTATGGCTTGGGTGTGGGGACATTTTGAAACTCCTCGGGTAGTATTCATGGAGAGCCAAGATTGAGAACCATTGATCTTGACTAACTCCTACATCTTACAGATGGAAAAACTTAGGCCCAGCGTGTAAACTGCCTTGCCCAAGGTCACACACAGGATGAGTTCATCTCTCTGTTTCCATCATATAGTCCTCTCCCTCAAACTTCATGATGTTTTCTCCAGCATTCCTATGGAGGAAGATAATGGCACTTCTTTTTCATCTTCTACGTTTATTGTGGACCAGCAATATGTTCTAGAAATTGATGTGTTTTTCCCAGTCTGTTTCTTTCCAGTCCCTCTCATTCCACAAAAGGAGTCAAGGAAGTGTAAGACTCTCAATGCAGACACTGCTACATTCTGTATGGGAAGGTGTATCTTGAGATATAAACTGTTTTTTCTTTGTTCTGTGCCTGTCAAGGACCCTGTTCTTGGAGCTCTATGGTAGAAGCAAAATCCCAACTACGTTCAGTCTTCCTTCCCTTCCTCCTTCCCCTCCCTCCTTCCTTCTCGCTTTGTCCTCTCCCTTCACTGTTGCTCAAACATTTAACTAGAACCCACAGAGTGTCAGGCCTTGTGATAGGCAGTAGGGACTACTTGCTGGAAATGTGTCTATTAGACAATTCTTGTTTCTATTTTTTTCCCCCTGATGACTTGGGCTGGACAACTAACACATAGTTTTTAGAATGTCTTGTCTTCTTTAACATAATGTGTCTCACTTCTTGGAGAGAATCATTAAGGTGAAATTGAAAGAGAAAAAAATGACATCTTAATTTATTTCCCCCTCAGATTTTGCCAGCTCTTAGAACTCAACTTTCTCCTTGAGGAAGAAAGAGAACTTGATATTTGTGAATGATTACTACAGGTTAGACATTTTATAGAGTGTATTTACTCTTGAGAACACTTGTAAGATAGGTATTATTATACCATTTTACAGATGAGGAATGTGACATATAAAGCAGTTAACAGTCTCATCTAAGGTCATCTATCAATGTAATAGAAAGAACACGAATTTTGAAGTTAGACCTCACTGAAGATCAATTTTGCCACCAGATTTCATTCTTCATAGCAGATTCATAACCTGGTGGTGGTGGGGTGGAGTAAGCTCACCACCAGAAATAGCGAATAACAATTTATATGTAGGGAAGTATGTTCTTGTGAGATGTTCTTGTGAGAAACAACATGGCTTTCATCTGATTTTTAAGGGAGGCTACGACCCTTTAAATGTCACTATTATATAGAAAAATTCCCTTGCCGTGAATGAACTTTCATTGCCTGAATGTTAGCTCCCTTGACTTTTACCAAATTCTTAAGTTTCCAATTTAAGGCACTCAATC